AAATTGTTGCGCCAAATATTCTGAATCAATTTTGTAAAATTAAAAACAAAAAACACTACGGAAATCGTACTGATTAATTTTGCGAAATTTCGTTGAAATTTCTTTTTGCTGTTAAAACTTTGTATAACTTGATGATAAGGAAAATGGTCTTAACGAATTTCCTAAAATACTGTGTTCCTATACTATAATATATTATAGTTTGAAATATATAAATCGTATAAAAATTTCAAATTTCTATCGTAACAATTTTAGAAGTTGCTAAATCTCAATTCTGATCGAATAAGCCTAGTAATTTTTTCAACTTGCTTTTTAGCAAAATGAACAAGTTTAAACAAGTTTTAACTTGATATATTATATATAATATAATTTATGTAGAAGTAGATGTAGATGTAGATGTAGATGTATGTAAATGTAATATACACCTAAGTCTGTTTTTACACGGTCTTTTTGTACACGGTTTTGATATAACACGGTTTGAAAATTGAATATTTTTAATTTTTTTAAACGAATTTATTCCATTTAGCACGATTTGAAATTTTATGTACCTAAATTTTTTTTGTCAAATTAAATTTTTGCGAAGTATGTTCATATCACAAAAAAGTATTTATGAAAGAAAAAAGTCTGAAACCATCGATAGTATCGATAGTTTGCGAACACTAGCTTAAACATTTAAGTGAATTCCCCTTTAGCGCGTACAAACAATTTTTACTGGTCAAAGCAAATGTGAATAGCACTAATTTAATTCTTGTTCTTAAAAATTCTTGTTTTTCACCAATTTTAATAGGTTTTAGAGATCAGGAACAAATCACCCATTTTTGTATAAGATCAATGTCTTTTTTTACACGTTTTTTTTTTTTTACACGGATTCTTCTGGAACCAATCTCCGTGTAAAAACAGACTTAGGTGTATATGTAGATGCATGTGTAAATGTATTAGTCTATTAACTCTTCGGGGACGGCTGTCCACCTGAGTGGACAAACATACTATGTGAGGCACAGGCTATTTCATAAACAATGACTCAGTTTGCATCGAAAAGTTGAATAAATTACATATAGCAGTGATAAACAGTGTTGTATCTTGAAAATAATTTTAAGTTATTTTAGTAGTATTTTTAGCCTCTTCTTTGCTACATAGTCTTTTTTAATATTTAAAACGACCGAGCGCTTTTAAAAATGGCAAAACGACTGGTAAATTTTGTGAATTAAGCAGTAGTGAAAATGAGTTTCAAATAGACATTCATACAGATAAATTTTATGGAATTACTATTCGCACCGAAGATAGTGATGAATGTAATGATGATATTATCCAACCAACAAAAAGAAGAAGTTCGATAAATTAAATGAAGAGCAGAAAGATATTAGCGAATGTGCCGATTCTCCTTAAATAATCGAGTTTGACATACATCAACAAACAACTTGACTACAAATATTCAGCAATATAAGACATCCAATAGATTATTTTACATTATATTTTACAAATAAATTATTAGACAATATAATAGAAAAAACAAACCATTATGGCAGCACAAAAATGAACAAATATACTGACTAATCAGTGGCATATTCTAAATGCGAGAAAAACAAAAAGAGAATATATTGTCTATTCTGACAGAAAAGCACTAGCAACATTTTATTGTAAAACATGTCAAAAACAACCAGCTATGCATTTTGAAAATTGTTTTGAACGTCACCATTCTTTATAAAATGATCAGAAATAAATTATTATAAATGTATTTCCTTCAATAACCACAAATTTTTATCAAACAAATTGCATAACATACACAAAAAAATCAAGTTTACAGCCGGCACAGTAGATTGTTTTGAAATCGGTGACGTCCCCGTAACTGTTAAATGTATAGCATTTAATATTTCAAAATATACATTATAATAACAAAAATTTGTATAGAAATCGAACTATTGCATGGTTACTGAAATCTAAAATTTGTCAATGCGTTTTAAATTTAGATCTCCAACAGAATCAAAATGTTCTTTCTGAAACTCAAACAGCAAACCGCTTTATTAATAATTTTATATTCTCCAGAGAATAATATAGTTTAAATACATTCTGATACTTTTTGCTAAAACTTGCGTGTAGATAAAAGTTTCAAAAGTGCAATTAAACTTGCAAGAATGTACTTAACTTCTAAAGTATCTAGATTACAAGTGGATTTAGCAGTATTACCCTATGGGGTAAATACTATAGCTAATGCAACGATAATGTTTAATAATAATTTCATTATAATCATTAAGAAAGTTTATTTGATATATAAATAAATCGTTGTGGTCGTCCAAGATTTTGCGCAAGGGAACCGAGAGGGAGTCAAATACATATTTGCTTTTGGGTCTATTTTTAAATAATGATATTTACAATAATACAATGTTTATCATCCGAATATCAAATTCGATTGTGAATAACGGAATATCTTATATAATCCTACCTGCTAGCACCATCATTAATATGACGAGAGTCGATTCCTTTCCGCAATGCATTTTGAATATCCTTCAGCTGCGGTAACTGTTCACAAGGTTGTTCCACGTCTATGGCACTAGAGTTCAAACGACACTTGATTTTACTCACAAACTAACTCGAACATGACGGCTTTCATCTGGAAATTCACTTCAGAATCCAACATGAACATGTGAAAATCGTTTAATGAGATTTCCCTACGCCGATTTCCGAATTTCACTCACTTTTGTTAATTAGAAAGGTATCAGTTATCAATATTGCAGTCATATCAAATAGAAGAAATGTTGTGTTGATATGGTTTGGAATGAATCTGAAAATTTTAATGGAAAGATTAGAACTGGTCGAAGTTTTGCAATTGCGTAATAATAATGGTAGTTTTGGCGAGATGATCAAAAAATTATTCAGAAACATCGATGGCGACGGTATTCAAAAAAAAAATTGATGAAAAATTAGATAATTTAGTAGCCAGGATAAAGGAAAATTGTGTACAATAATAGGAGCTCTATGCCCCAGAGCAAATTAATAAGCTGAGTTAAACTCCAACTCAAAAAATAGTGTTAGAAATTTCCTATTGCCATTTCACATCGTAGTGCCCAAAATAGCCATTCTCAGTTGGAAGATTTTATCTGTATCTCCAAGTGAAGATTGATATCACTACTGCGTGATATCAATACAAACCGAACCGGTGATACCCGTTCAAAGCGGGGGTTAAAAAAAATAAAATAAATATGCTATATTTCCAGATAGATAATCAAGATCTCGTATTCAACATAGCTATTCAAATAAAATTAATTATGTATTAAACAATTGCTTGGAAATAAATATATATTTTTATGAATTTTTATGTTAATAATTTTGATCTAACAAGTAGTGTTAGATTAGAGATTTCCCATTGCCATGAATGGCTATTTTCAGTTGGAAACATATTTTTGATTTGTTCTTGCAGGCGAAAATTGATTCACTTCTGTATGATACCAGGTTGTCCAGAAACGGATTTTGAAGATATGCTATGATAAGTATAATTTGAGATTGATAACCAAAATATTCAACAGAGTTATTCAAATAAAATCAATAATGATTTACACAATTGTATAGGAACAAACATACAACTTGATATAATTTTTGTATGAATTTTTATGTTAATAAATTTTATATAACAAGTGCCCGTCTTCTGATATTATCGTTGCGCAATTGCAATGCAGTATTTTATGAAACAAAAAAAATAAAAAAATAATTTTCATTAAAATTATTTCATTATTAAGATATTCTGAAACGTATAATTCTAAATTTCGATCTACTTCCAGAAAGCACACTTTTTAATAATATCAATTAGTTTTAACACGTGGTTCACAATTTGAGTTACCTTTATCACGATTGTTTAATTTACATTATCAGTTTTACTCACTATTAATTTTAGATTATCATTCTATTTATTAGGATTTCATGTTCGATGATATCTTGATTTTCATAACGCGCGTAACTAATATTCGACTGAATATTTGCAGAACACGATACGACACGTGCACCTCGAAAGCCTAAGGGAAACTGAGGCATAAAACTTCCAAATCTACTACGCAACCCTCTGGCGCCACTTGTCTGGTGGCAGTTTTGGATTTCGTGTTTTATGATAATGGAATATTTAATTCTATGATTATTTGTTATTATAAATATGTCAAATAAATTTATTAAAAAAATTGTATCAACTTGGAATTAATGTAAAGTTACTGAAGACCATCATTAGGGGGCGTCCATTAATCGCGTGAGGTTTTTAGGGGGAGGGGGGTTTGACAAAATATCACGAACTATCACGTGAGGAAGGGGGGGTATGGTAAGATATCACGTGTATTAATTTTTTTACTGATTTTTTTAAAAAAATTCAAACATTTTCAAAAAAAGAATCAAAAATTTTTGTTTTTTCACGTAACTAAAAATACACGTAATGTTCGGTGGGGGAGGGGAGATAATTTTGAATATCACCACGTATCACCAAGGGGGAACGGGGGTTAAAAAATCCTTAAAAACTCGCTCACGTGATTAATGGACGCCCCCTTATGTGTTCTCACCGGTCTCTCAATAGTTCTCACAACTATTAAACAATATTTATAACATTTTATTAATCACTACCTTATGTTACCAAGTTTGTATCGTCTGATAGTACCGATAGTAAGTTAGAAGTTGTTCTCCTAGATCGTCAATTGAGTTACGAAAAGTTGCAAATTTGAAAATTTATCCTTCAATAATCAATTTTCTCAATATATAATACAAATTCAGCATGTTTAATTCGGGTATTTACAAAACACCACAAATAAAAATATAGAATGCATAAGTTCCACTTGCATTGTATAATTTGAGAGTAAACCGTACTGCCCAATATTTGCAAAAATCATAGCTTACAAAAGTGGTAAAGAGAAGAAAATTTATATCAATATTTCCTTTATTCATATAAATTTTTCACACAATCATAAATAATGTGAAATAAATCACTGTTTTTTATCACTGTATTGATATAACATCAATATAATAATCTTTTTTTAAATGTTGTTTATCCCATTCTTTATAGTTACATACAGTTGTTATTCTAAATTATGAATATTTTTCATAAATTATTTATACCTAAATCATTCTAAATATTATTTACAAAATTATAACATGAAAACTTATTTAGATATTGCCATATTTGTAAAATAATAAAAAATAAATTCTATTTTATTTACAAGTCTGTAAATATGTCAAAATATATTTGCATCTAACCACCGAAGGCAGTAATTATTAAGTCGTTCAAATTTTAAAATATGTGCAGCGGTCACTGTTGCACTCTTACTGATGTAGGTCTTGTATCCTCTGCCTCACGATGTGGTGGTGTCGTTTTTTGATTTTGATTAGTTTGAGCTGGTTTGCGCTCGTATTTGGGTTTTTCAGATCCTTGGACACATTGCTCTGTTATATGAACACTATTTACATCACTGCCAGGAATTTCAAACATCGGTTCAAGCAATAATGACTCCTATTAAAAAAATTTGATGCTATTATATATTCAAACACTTTAAATATTTCAACAAAACAACATTCATAACTACTTCTTGTAAGGTAATTTTAATGTAATTTAGATGAGATTAAACTTATTAATTTAGATACAATACCATTATTGCTCGTAATCCTCTTGCACCAGTTTGTCTCTCCATCGCTTGACTTGCAATTGCTTGCAGAGCAGAGTTGCTGAAGCTCAACTCACACCTATCCATAGCCAGTAGAGCTCTGTATTGAGGAACCAATGCATTTTTTGGTTCTGTTAGAATTCTCACTAACATACTTGTATCTAGACTATGGAATGGAACAAGAACAGGAAATCTTCCCACAAACTCCGGTATCATACCAAACTCCACCAAATCTCTAGCTTGAACACGTTTCAAACTAGCATCTCTCTCAGCCATATCTTCATCGATGCCTTCCCCAACTTTTTGTGCAGCTCTACGTCCCTGTGATGTAGCAGGTGGGCACCCAAACCCAAGATATTTTTCATTGTGCCTTCGGGCAATTAGTTTATCAAGACCTGGAATAAGAAGTAATATTTTATAAATTGAATTATTATTATTTATAGAATGTAAGAGATAGTTAATTAAATGCTAACTTAACAATAAATATAAAAAGTACTCATTTTAAAATATTTACCTGTAAATGCACCAGATGCTACGAATAAAATATTAGTCGTATCAACTTGAACAGTTTCACCACGCAACTTTCTCGGTGAGTTTCTTTCCGGAACATTCACAACAGTTCCTTCTAACATTTTCAACATCCCTTGCTGAACACCTTCCCCTCCAACATCTCTTAGCTGATGAATTCCGGGCACTGCCCCAATCTTATCAACTTCATCCAAAAACACTATTCCTGTCTGAGCACGTTCAACGCTTTTTGACAAAAATTATATAATAAATAAAGATTGACATGATAATTGAATAATCAGCATAAATATATAGAAGGATACAGAGTACATAATATCAGCTGCATTATATTAGGTGCAAATATTCTTAATCAAATATTCTTCATATATTTACATAACTATAGTGAAATTTTAATTTTTTGTCTATAAATATAAAAAATAAATAAAATCTAAAATAAAAGTTGGCAAGCACTGCAATAACAGTCATGGATGATATGTACACATATAATTCCCACATTTGAGTTTAGTATTTGAAAAATAAATAAAAATGTATGCCTAATCATCTTCAGCATACTCAAGGTTAAAAATGTCAAATGGCAGTCATAACAAAAACAAAGCAGAATATAAAAATAACCTGAAATTAGCATCTTGAAGCAATTTTGCTATCACACTCTCTATATCTTCTCCAACATAGCCTGCTTGTGTAAGAGTAGTACAATCGCAAATAGCAAAAGGAACATCCAAACATCGAGCTATTGTCTGGGCAAGCAAAGTCTTTCCTAATAAATAAGATTTAAATCTCAAATACCACAATTTTCTAACATTCAATATCTTCTTGAATAAATTATACATAAAATTTTTATTTGTTTACCTGAACCTGTAGGGCCCAACATCATGATGTTACTTTTTTCAAGACGTAAATCATGTGCATTTTTCTCTAAAATTTCAGATCCACTAGCTGCTTTATTACGATTTAAATTTCCCATGCCCCTATTAGTGTCCCCAGCACTTGAAAACACAGATGATTGAACAGTTGATTGTGTTATACCCGATATATGCAAAAGATCTATAATGAAGAAAATTATGTACATAATGAAATTTTAAAGTAACTTTTATTATGATGATACCTCTTTGAGAAATGGTTTCCTGTTCTTTTGGTGCACCTGTTGCATTAGGCAGATTATGGTATATCCTCTTGTAATGATTATAAACTGCTACTGATAAAACCTATAATAAATGGAATGGAATGAAATCGAAAACATGAATTTAAAACCAACAAATAATGAATAAAAGCCAATGATATTATAAACATATTAGTTTATTCTAAATTCATATAAATGTAAAATTTGAAAAACAAATTTTAATATTAAAATTTATAGATTTAAAGTCTCACTCCAAGATTTCATTTAAGAACAAAGAATAGAATACTCTCTAAAAGATGCTTGCTTACAAAGCTTTAAATGAAATACTAGTTAAGTTACATATAACTCAAAAATAGCTTTTTGCATACCTTTTTAGCAAGCTCCTGACCTACAACATGTCTATTTAAATATTCCATAATCTTTTTAGGTGGTGGAGGTGGTTTTCTGTGATTCGGGCCTTCATCCTTTATCGTTTTCTTACTATCAACCTCACTCAGAACAACAAAAAAATGATGACATTTCTCACACTTTACGAACCGAGTTGATGACACAAAAGTTTCTACATGTGTGCATGGATCTCCACATTTTGGACAAGATAATGTATTTCCCTTTTTACCCCCGGTTCCCCCAGATTGATTGGTGGTCGTTGTGGTATCCTTTGTACCAGCAAATTTGCAATTAACAGATGTTGTGTGCACTTTGCGTTTCTGTATTTGGGATGCATGAGCAATGATGCAATATATCCCTAAATATAAATTTTATCATTACAAATTCTGGTAATTTTTCATAAATTATGGTAATATATAAACAAAATTCATGGTATATAAGAAAAACTGAGAACATAGTAGCAATGTAATGTGCAATTTCAAAGAGACTGTTACACTTATTAATCTTATTCAATAATATTGCTTTTTTTAAGATAAATGATCAATGACCTTGACTATGAAATTTTATTTTAAGATAAATGTAAATTCCAAAAAAATATTACTTATTCGTTAAATTTACTTAATGTGCCTCCGGCATTTAAATAGATGATATTTCAAGGATAACTGGAATCAAAATTGAAGAAGTATGTTTTCAACAAAGGTTTAACTTTCAAATTTCAATGACAAATGTTATTTGAATGTTAGCATATTCATTATTAAATTCAAAATCAAGTCAAAATCTCATATTAAAAATTATATATATTATTATTATTTGTTATTACTTACCATTATGTATCCTGGCACCTCTTGCTATTAGAGCAATTCTTCCAATTGATGTAAAACTGCCTTGAATGCTCCTCATTGTATTTTTTTTTAAATTTTTTAATAACACACAATAATTATCAAAACATTTATACTAGTTATTGATGCATGAGAATGCCAAATTGCAAAATATAATTGCTGATAGAGATATCACACAACCCACATAAGGATAACATTTATTTTAACTTAACCTTCCATGACGCAATGGATTTAGAATTTTAATTATATTTTTTTAAATAGGAGTAAGAATATAAAAACACAAAATTTATTTAAAAATAATTAATTTAACAAACAAGCACCACAAATTTTGATTTTTAGTTGCATACCAAATTAATCACAAACGGCCATATTTGATAATAGAATCATTTACGATGTGGGTGCCATCTGTTGATCTAAAATAATTTGACCGTCGTTTGACATTACTGCAAAGACTTACTACACTAATGACATTTGTCACTATGACAGTGCCAAAAACGATTGTTTTTGCCTAAATATTACAAAATTTAATGAATTCTTACAATAATTTTGATAAAACATTTTTTTTTAAATTTTGATAATAACTTTATACCAGAACATATAAGTTCGATGTAAAAAATCTGTTCTAGCGTTCTAGCATTACATTATTTATGTATTAAATGAATTAAGAAACAAAAATAATTTAACAAACGTATTGATATATTAATAGTATAATGTTGTTTTATCACTTAGATGTAAAATCAAAAGTAAAATAATTTTTTGCGTCATTGTCAATGTTATTAAATAATATCTAAATAAGAAAATGTTATTGAGAGAAGTATACATGTACACCTGCACCTAGTGTCGATTCTAAGTGCATAATAAACAACTGTAAATCTAACATCTCTAAACAGAAACTACCTATTCATATGTGTTTCATAAATAAATATTAAAAACAATATTAAATGTTTATTCTAAATAAATGATTAAATTAAATATATTATCCTTGCACTGCGTCAGAAGTCGATAGTGTAGTTAAACCTACGTGAACGACAATTTGAACAATAATTGGCATCATAAGACCACATGATACTGATGTATTTATGTCAATGTATTTTAAATTTATAGGAGTTTGCAAGTCATTAATGATAACAAATTTTACCGCGTTTTAAAGTTTGTTTTTTTAACTAAGTTTATATATTATAGTCAATAAATTAGGGTATACATTTCTAACTATTTTATTATAGTTTTATTATCCATATCCTCTGTATATTAATTAAAAAATGCACTGTTAAAAACAAACTTTGATAAACGAAGTCGTGTATATTTAAGACCTGTTGCATTTTTAATTATAATGACTTCGACGACAAGAGAGCTTTTTACCAGGCGTATGAAAAAAGAAACTAGGGATGTACATGCAATTAGTGATGCTTTAGTAAATGCGAAACTTGCTTTTGGTAATTAATATTTAATTAGTTATTAATATTAGATGCTAAAAAGATGATAGATAAATTATATTGCAATTGTCAAATTGTTTTATGTATTGTATTGCAGAAACAACTTGAAGTAGTTTTTTATGCATAAGAAGCATTTGCAGTTTCTCATATGTATTCTAGTTATTATAAATTGTATATATTCATAAATGCATATTTTTAAGCACTCTCTGACCAATCAGTATGGGCTGAAGGATTATTGGTGTTTTATGAAATTTTTAAATATTTGGAAAGAAATGTTGATCATCCAATGCTATGCACATCATTGAGAAGAATAGACGCATTTGAAAAAGACTTAGAATTCTACTTAGGAAAAGATTGGAAAAAGACATATGTTATACGAGAAAGTGTAGCAAACTATTTGAATCATCTGCATTATTTGGCTGATAACAATAAGGTACTGCTTTTGTCATAAAAAAACTTTGTAAAACATAATGATTATTTGTTTTATCACAGATTTTATTGCTGGTATACGTTTATCATTTATACATGGGTTTACTGTCTGGTGGCCAGATTCTCAGAAAAAAAAGAGCATATTCTATACTACCAAAGCGAACAAAAACAAAAAATATACCAGGTAATTTAATTTCAATTTTGTATTGTATTTACTATAATTTTAATAATTATTATTATCTCAGGAGAAGCAGTCACTGATTTTGAAGGTGCTAATTTATACAATTTAAAAAAGAAGCTTCGGGATGATATGGACAACGAAGCACGCAAATTTAGTGAGTCAACCAAGCAATTGTTTATCACAGAGAGTAAAAAATTATTTTTGATGAATAATAAATAATTCAGTCAATTGAAGGAGCCGGTAAAGTTGTTATGAGAAAATTTTTGAAGTGGCTACTTATTTTAATTGTAACTGGGTTAATAGCATATATGTTATACAAACTCATATTGTAAGAATTTGACATCAATTCTGTTGACAAATAAATATTCATTGTAAACTGAAAGACAATATTACTTTTCCAAATAAATATATTAATGGAAAGCATACATTTTTATTTAAGTGGAATAAATCTGGAACTGTGTGTAGCACCAATACCTGGTCTACCGTGTTTAACAGGCTTATATGTCACAGAAAATTCTCCCAAGTAGTGTCCAATCATTTCAGGTTTGATTTCAACCTAACAAATATAAATAAATTAGTAATTGATCACAATATTTATATTGAAATTAATATTGGTAAATAAACTAACTTGATTGAATGTTTTTCCATTGTAAACACCAACAATGGAACCAACCATCTCTGGAACAATAATCATGTTGCGAAGGTGAGTCTTTACAATTTCAGGTTTCTCATTTGGAGGAGCATCTTTTTTGGCTTTACGTAATTTTTTAACAAGTGCCATTGGTTTGCGCTTCAAACCACGAGCAAAACGCCTGCGAGCTCTTGCATGCATTAATTCCATCAATTGCTCACTAAAATAAAAAAATCTATTAGGAAAAGCTGTTCATATATAACAAATTCTTCAAAGTATGAGCACTACTAGTGCAGAATTTCATTAACATCTGTTAAAACAGCATTTTTACACAAACATTTCCAAATGTAATTCATAAAATAGAGAAATCAACAATTTATGTGTGGGTAACATGTACTACTTCCAGACATATGAATTTCTAGTAAAGTTGGGATAGCAATTAACTGCATGTAATCTTAACGTATCCTTTTTTAATGGCAATATTAAATAATATGCAAATGCAAACCGAAAAGATACATTCAACTCACCGGCTGTCAGGTTTAACCCTAAATATGATCCATTTCTATAAACATTGAATTTAACTCGCGGATAACATTATGTTGAGAAATTTAGTATTTGATATTTAGGATGATAATCACCAATTCAAATGATAATAGTAGCTAATAGCAAGTGATATAATTCAATTTTTGAACATGTAAACCACATACACATAACCTACAAAATTCACAATCATATTAAAAATCACTTACTTGGGCATATCCAGTAATTGATCCAAGTCGACCCCTCTGAAAGTAAACTTTCTAAAGGTACGCTTCTTCTTTTGAGTTTCTTCGGCCTATAACATTGAAATGAATACATTTTAACATGATAATAAATCAACAAAAATCAATATACACTGTAATAGCTCTGAGAAAATATTGTTAACGTTTTATAAATCATCTACTACATATTGTAATAATATTAAAAATTTTACACGTACCTCGCCCATGATTATTTCTTTAACAGATTTAGAAATAAACTTCTACAAGTTCCATCAAATGGAAAAGAGAGATCCCGGATATGATTTTCGTAGAACGTCAAGTTGTGACGACAGAGCTACCAACATAGAAAAAATTTAAGCGACGACTCGATTGTGAAATATTAGCGACTTCATAAATATAATTCTGCGTTGGTTTGAAACATTGCTCTTCTACTCTTGTTTAAATAAAATAATCATATCCAAGACATCATTGATAAACAAAACAATAGGCATTTTTTGTATTACATTTTCTGAATAATTTTTTTGACAAAATGCCTTTAGACGCTGAAGTGGGTACACGCTTGTAAGTAATATTTTAGATAAATTCTTTAATAAGACTATTTACTAATTTTCAAAAATAACTAATTTAGCGATCGAGAAATAGGACCTTTATATGAGTATAGAAAAGATATTTTTGATCCAAAACTTCATTTTGGCGTTCGACCGGTGCAATGGATGTTGAAACAAGAATTGGATTGCGCTAAGAAACCGATAAATGTAGTAAGTACATTAAAATATGGTGCATAAAACTAAATGAAAATTTTAGATTAATACGATAATAGAGTTTATTTTACTATTTTTTTATTGAGTTTGCGACTTATTTTTGCAGATGCGCCGCACAGCACTAAAACAAATGTTAATAAAAGAATTTCATGAAGAAAATCATGCCCTCCAGTTTTTGGGATTGACCTACGCTCGTACGTTTAAATAAATCAAAACTTATATTATGTAATATTTATTGATCTAATAATATTTCCAAATCCTCAAAATCCTTGAGTAATAAACTTTTGACATAATTAAATTTATATTTAAAAAAATTTCATTATTTTTTTATAAAAATGTATGAGAACGGTTTCTTAAAGAACTTGAACTTAGGGTGGTTCTTAATATGAACTTAATTTTTGAATTTCCTTGCTCCCAAAAGCTCAAATGGTACCAAATTGATAAAATACAATTCTCTGAAAGTTTTTGCTCGTAATATTGTATTTTAGATAGAGCGCAATTCAATAAAAAGTTTTGTATAGAAATAGCATGAAAAAATTTCAATTTTTAATATATATACACACACAACTTAGAAGAATTCTAGGCAATGTGAAAACCTTTGGTTTTGGGCATGTGAAAAATGTTATAAGATTATTTAATATGATAACTGTATTATTTCTATATAAGTAAAAAAAACTTATTTGGATATTTTTTACATTTTCAATTTTTATGGTAAATGCAATTATTGTATTACATCTGCATCAGTTCTTGAACTTACACAAATATTACAAAAATATCTAATAAAAATAATAATAAATTTCTGTTTTAAATTACTTTTTAAAATTCGCGGGCTACAGTATGAAGTTCTGTGTCAGATAGGCGCGTGAATGGAAAAGAGGGAAAAGAATTGCAGATGACAGCTGTCAATATTAAATGTAATTCAGCATTACAAGCAAAACGGCCAAACTTGCATTTATATATTTATTTACGAAATTCTTTAACATCACAAACAAATAAACTTTTTTTTAGTTATTTGTATTAATAAAAATGTCTATTACTATAATGCATCGAATATCAAAAACCGATTGTATGAAATACAAAATTCCTTTTTGTGATGCAGAAGAAAGTGTGAAATCTTTAAAAGAACGCTTTCTGCAGTGGTTTGAGACTCCAAAGAATCCTATAGGTATTATTATAAGTAATTTTATTTAAAATCAGTCATTATCTAAATATATACTTTTTTTACAGAACTTGTTTTTAATTGTCAAATATTGAATGATTGTCAAACATTGTCTGAATGTGGTATTGAGCCAAACGTTGTACTTTACACTTTTACTCGGCATAAACCAAAGGAAATTCCAACTCCTACTATTTCAGATGAAGAAATTTTGAAAGTTTACCAATTTCTTGCATCCATTCGAAATTATCCACACAATAAAATGGCAGCATTGTTGGTAAAATATGTTTTGTATTATTAACATAAGTTCTGACATATAATCAAGTATTTTTACTAATTTAAATCGTAAACTAATTTAAGTGATTAGAACTTGATATAATAAATAACACTATTGAATATAGAATTTTCGACAATTTCTAACATATTGCAGAAGATAAACCGTCCTGAAAATTTAAATAAGATATTACAAGAAGTGCCTGAGCTGAACAATGATCTAAGAGCAATAGCCTTCTTAGAAGATCCATATTTGTTAACACAAATAAAAGTAGAGAGTACTTTCAGAAGAATGGCACAAAACCACCCATCACTTATCAAAGCGCTAGTGTTTGTAATGGAGATGATTAAAGGAATGAAAAGACCGCAAAAACACAAAAACCTGGTAAAAATGATCTAAATCTTTTTGAAGATTCATTATTCTACATTCATAGCTAATTTATTTAAATTTAAACTTTCAGGCACCAGTGCTAGTATGCCATCAATGAGTAGTCTAATGGCTGAAAGTGATTCAGACTCGTCAGGATCTGAGAATTTCAGTGTTGGTTTTCCAGCACATAGAACAAATTCTGAAAGTAATAGTAGGATTACTTCTAATCAGTTATCTGCTGCCCTTGCTTTTGCAAGTAATACATCCAATTCTAATACCCCAACAAATTCTGTCCCAACAACATCTTCGAGTAGTTCTAGTTTAATTCGTTCACCTAGCTCGATTATAACTTCTTCTATGTTTAGTAATGCATTGAGAAATGCTATGCGACAGGTTAGAGACACTAATAGAGTGACACCATCTAGTCAAACTGAAAATAGAAATGAAAATAGCAATCTTGCAATCCAGTTGAATAGAATGAGAGAATTGGGGCTTACAGATGATGCTATTAATTTGCAAGCACTTGTGATTTGTAATAATGATGTGCAAGCTGCAATTAATTTAGTTCTGAGTGGGGCAATTGGAAATACTGATTAGCTTACTTTACCGCTTCTGAATTTTATAGCTTAGTTATACATCAATTGTTATTTTAATTACTTAGCCTAGTTTTGTATTTTTATACATGTAAAAAAAATTATATATGATTCTGTGAATCTGTCATTTAATAAAAATATGAAAATCATTGATTATTGTTTATCTAATCATAGCTAGGAAACAGATTAGTTTCTATAAGTCAACTGATTAATAATAGTTTGCAGACCTGTCTGAATTTCATAGTGCTTTTTAGAGTAACAAGATATTTTTTAATCTTAATATAATATGAGAATACATTTGTAACACAATTGTAACTATATGATGTTAAATTTTTGTAATTTAGAAGTATTAATTACACTCAGTATTATTTAGTACTTTCCTAAATCACAAAAAACTTTTTAATTTAAATCTATTTAAATGTAAATTTATGATATGAATAATTATTATTACAATTATACAAGAAACTTGTTCAACCAGGACTCAGACAACACAGACTGTTGGCTTATTTTAAAAATATTTACAATCGAAATTAAACATAGAGCGTAGAACTTATATTTATATAGACTGGTAACATAGCTTTTAGTATAAACATACAGCAGTTAAGTTTAGTTTTTGAATAAATATTTTATAAAATAAATTTTGATTTATTGAAATGTACGAGCGTAGGTCAATCCTAAGAACTGGAGGGCATGATTTTCTTCGTGAAATTCTTTTATTAACATTTGTTTTAGTCGGCGCATCTGAAAATATTAAGTTACAAACTCAATTAAAAATAGTAAACTAAACACGATTAACGTATTAATCTAAAAATTTCGGTTTCTTTCAATTTCGGCAATTCAATTCTTGTTTCAACATCCATTGCATGGGTCGAACGCCGGAATCAAGTTTTTTTTTTTACTCATATAAAGGTCCTATTTCTCGATCACTAAATTAGTTATTTATGAAAATTATTAAATAGTATATTAAAGAATTAAACTAAAATACTACTTACAAGCGTGTACTCACTTCAGCGTCCAAAGGCATTTTATCAAAAAAAATATTCAGAAAATTGAATACAAAAAATGTTTATCATATTAGCAATGATGTCTTGGATATGATTATTTTATGAGAGTTTTGTCAAAAAAATTATATATATTAAAGGATTAGTAGTAAAATAAATTTAACTAACATTAAACATAATTTGCAATAAGTAGTTGAGTAATTCATGAAAAAAAGATTAAAGTAAATCATAAAAATTAAATTCAAATCGGAAATTAATTATATGATAGTTATATAATCATATAAAAAATAGAAAATGATTGATATTAACAATTATGCTTATGCTGACGCATTTGAAGCTGATTATATATCAAAGTTGTAGTTGATCATCAAATTAATGTATTTAATTATGTCGTTTTTCATAGAATAGACTTTTGTAAACTGTTTTGAGAAATTCTAGCACTGTTTTATTTCCTTTTTTAATGCTAATAATTGATGCATTAAAGAAAAAATGTATAGAAACATCTAAATTTATTTTTAAATTATGAGCTCGTTTATTATTGTCTTTTCACATCATAAATAATTTCTGGTCCGTTTATCAATTCAAAAATATCTCAGATATTATTATTGTGATTTTTTGTTGGGAATAAAATATTTTTTATACTTACTGCAAACGTAATTAAATCATCAAGTAAATTTCTGTAAAACGGTTGAATTGTAATTTGGACTGCACATTCAAAATCCTTTTTCTATAACAATATATAAGTACTTATTTTAGTTTGTACCTTTAAAAAATACATTCTTGGAAACATTCAATTATTTTATAAATTGAACCTTATTTTATATTTTTTTCAGATTTTTAGCCTTAGCATATTTTTAATTTTACCTAATTCATTACAAATTATATAAAAATTATCAAATCTTACTATACTATAAGTATAGTATAGCATACTATAGTATAACATTTTTAATAGAATGAACTATCTAATAAAATATTAAATAATGTATTTTCTTTTAATTTTCTAACTTATAAATTCTAAATTTATTTGTACTTTCATCAATTTGTATATAGTATCAAAATGTTTTAATTTACTTGCGTTTGTAATATATTACTTAACTTTTATTTGCGAAGGGAGCAAGTTAAAAGGGGTGACTTTTTGCTCACATGGCTTTTCACAGTGAGATGCACGTACGAGTGATCTTTCA